GGTACAAATTTAAAAATTTTTCAAAGGAAAAACTTCTATCATCTAATAAGTAAATATTGATTAATTGCCAGTTCACTGCAATAACGACATCGATTTCGAGATAATTTAAAAAACATAATGAAAATTTACTAGCCCTGTGATTCGATCGTGTTCGCTTGACTGATGTATTACGTGCACCGTATTGTATCGTAATTATAAACAATCTGTTCCACCTCATCTGTTACTAATCGTTAATTGGATTCCCGTCAGTCTTTGTTTTTTTTAACTTTATACGAGCTTAAAAATCCAAAACATAAAATATACGAGCCATTTAACGAAACAAAAGCTTAATTATTTTATGACTTTGTTCCATATAATTAATAATTATGTTACCTATCATACAAAAATATTGTTTATTATTACGTGAATAACTTTTGAAATTCATTTAATTTAGAATACTCAAAAAATAATTCTTCGCTTTATTACGCAAGAGAACTATTATAAATTATAAAAAGTGAATATAAAATTAAATTTTTCAATTCTACAAAGATCTAAAGAATAATAAATTCTTTAATTCATATTTCAATAAAATGCATATATTATATTTTTCTTAAACACCTCGATACCGTACCTGTGATCTAGATTAAGTATATGTATGTAAATTTGACTTATAATATGCTGTTCACCCGTGTTTTATATTCATAAACTCCTTTGCATTCAATTTATATGGAATCGCTCATATACTCCGTCCTTATTTGTATGCGAGGTAAACGTTTATTTCTTATTTCCTCGCTGTTAATTTAAATTGCTTTTAAATCACCTGTAAGACATCGTCAGATTGTAAATATACATGTTCCATTAAACGATTACAATCAGAATTGAAATTACCAAACAGAATTTATTTTTATCAAACTCCCATGTAATTCGAGGCACGTTGTTACAGATTACAAAATATTTCTATTACATAAATATTCAAAGATTTTACATAGACGATATATTATTTTATTTGTATTTTATTCGTCCATTGCGAATTCTATAATTTTTCTAATTTTTATTTAAAGAGAAGTGAACAAAGGTTTGTTCGTCTTTTATTTGTTATTAAAAATGATCGTTCAGATCCCTGAAGAGGATCGATTTCGAAGTCTTTAATTTCCGATTTCTTAAAATTCCACTGTAATTATAAATGGCGAACAAGCGTGTAACGAACCTGAAACTACGTTTTGTTTACCTCGAATGTGATCGAATTATGGTTGCGCAAGAAAGAAGCTTTTCCCGTTATACGTAACCCGCGTAAATCGATTAGCTACGTTAACCTAATATGGAGTGCAAATGACGATATGTATTCTGTTTCACGTCCAAAGTGCGTAAACAATGACAGGGTATGATTTAGGGGAGATATTTCATCGAAGTTATCCAACCGAAACTCGAACACGGCCGTTCGAGAAGTCCAGGAATACCTTCCAGATTCGTAGAAAATTTCATTATTTTTTAACACAGACACACTCCGTATTATCTAATTAAACTTTTCGAGTTATCTTTAAAATAAACATATTAAAACATCTGCAAAATATTCGAAAGAACTAGTTGGAGCAAAAGCAATAATATTAAACACCAACAAAAATTAAATATGGATAACGTAGGAACTGTACAAATTAAATAACATATAATATAAAATGTGTATACGAATTAATCATTAATTAAGAAAAAGAAATATTTTTTCAAAATTTGCATTCACTGTTTTGCTCCAATAACTATAAGAAAATATAAATTGGACATAATTTATATATACTTAACGAGGAAAATATACAAATGGGGAACATGTAGAACGATAAATTTAATATATTTTATGATGGAAAATAATCAACCATGTTTGCAAAACTTTTGTGTTTTAAACAATTAAATTAACCAAAATTAATTAATTTCGTCTGTATAAGTGAAGGAATATTTCGATGTTCATTTTTCTTATTTCGTATATCGAGAAAGATTATGCTGTATAACTGTATAGGAGGAAGCGTGGAAACGGTGACTCGCATTTATAAATTTTATCGACCGTAGAAATGGGGAAAGTGTGCCGTATACATTTATCCAGCGAATTTAAATATCAGTTTCATCTGAAAAAAATATTCGCAGCGATAATAGTGATACCAACGCGAAGGAAGCTAAAAACGTAGCACGTATACATATTAATTTGCTATTTCTGTACCGGCTTTACGTTGATGTACTGCATAAATTAGCTTTCATTTAGCGTACTTTGCCCAGACAAATCGTTCAAGCAACTGTTTCTTATCAAGATACTTGGACAAACTAAATACTACTAAAATTTTTACACCTGACGTTTACAATCTTTTTAATTGCTATTACGAAGCAAATCAACATTCTCTAACGTAAATAAAAAGGAAAAGATTGATTTCTTCGACCCTTTCATGCACACTATTTTTTTTCTGAAGATAATGAAAATAAATTCTACTAGAAACATTCCCTCGTTTCATTTTAAATTATGGCTACCATGAAATTTGGTAAATGGAGACAAGTGAAACGTGATACTGATTGAATATCGACTACTAACTCAAAGAAATGCAAAATCTCTGTGTTAATATAGAAATGAATATTATATCGACAGGATGGAAGGGAAGAAATACTGCACGGGAAGGAAAAGGCAAATCTGAAATTGTCACAAATGGAGAGAATTGGATTTTATGCGTAGTACGGACCGAAATACATGCTCGAAACTCTGTGGTGCGTATCAGTTGTGACGTTTATCAGGCGTACACCGTAAAACATATGCGCCGCCATCTGGCAGTTATGTTATAAATAAAGGAAATTGATTCTGTCCAAACAAACTCCATTTCACAGCAGTGTATTTTTATTGCTTCCCCTGTACCAATATTACAATTTTTTATTTCAATTATTTATTCCAAATTAAGACTGGAATTTTGTATTTAAATTGCAAAATTATGATATTCTTTGACGTTGAAAGATATTGGACATTCATTTCGCGAATATATACGATTCTAATTTGTTTCTGCACAAGTTAGTAAATCTGAAAACTCATTTTTATTGTACATTTTTATTTTGACAGTTTTCAAAATGTCAAAAGGAAATCGATCTGCATATAAATGTTTACAGATTCAAAATTACCTCTTACTTTGTGAATTTTTAATAATTTGCGTTGCTGCTTGATGTGAAAAAAATTGTTATAGAAGAAGCTTTCCCAAAACTTTTCATTATTGAATGTTTTAAGTGATTTATTTTGGTCCTTCTCAGCAACAAAATATAATATTGATTTAAGAATTTTAAAGGCAGATTCTAGAGGCCAAAATAAGACGAAAATCAAGAATACCAATTTGTTGATGGAGGCTTCGTTAAGAAGTTATTAACGTTTAAAGTTCCGCTCGTAATGAATTTTTTTCTCGAAAATGCGTAGGATTTCGGGGATATGTCCATTCACCAAAAATGGTTGTATTAGACCCAAGAACCTAGAAATAATTTTTTTAGAACGATTCGAAATTTTTTTTTTCGCTGAGAAATTTCGACACTACACCCTGTCGATTTTTCTTCAAAATTAGTTTTTCATTTTTAATAAATTTTTTTGACGCTCTACAGAAAAGTTGTCTAATACTTTTTTGTAGATACCCATAGGCTCTACTTCAGAAAAAAATTTCATTACAATATGTGTACTATTGTAGAAGTTACGACCGTTTGATAATTGGACCGGTTTTAGGGGGTTTTTCTCACTTTACGGTGTCAAGAAACAACTTTTTCAATATTGTTAGAATTTCTACATATTCTCCACTAAAATACGCGTTGTTTGCTTTTTGAAACATTAAAATCGTCCAATCCGTTCAGGAGTTATGACATTTTAAAGATTCGCATTTCGGGGTAACATTTCTGGCCAGAAATTATATTTTCGGAAAGGAATTTTTTCCTCGAAAATGGTTAGGAATTCAGAGGTATGTCTATTCACCAAACCTGATTGTAATTGACCCCTGTAGCCAAAAATAATTTTTTTAGAATGATTTGAAATTTTTTAATTTCGCCCACTTACTCAATTTTTTTCTCGAAAATGCGTAAGATTTCTGGGGTATGTGTAATGACAAAAAATGATTGTAATCGACCCTTGCAGTCGAAAATAATTTTTTTAGAACGATTTAAAATTTTTTAATTTAATTTTTTAATAACTTTTTAACGAAGCCTCGGTCAACAAATTGATATTCTTGATTTTCGTCCTATTTTGGTCTCTAGAATCTCCCATTAAAATTTTTCCCCGAGGTGGCCGAACACCCTGTATATGAGTCAAAATTGTAAAAATAGAAAAATTGAAACTTAAAAATTCTAATACTAAAAATAATACTAAAACTATAATAATGATACTAAAAATAAGATGTCATAAATGTTACAAATGAAATTGTATAAATAAATTCGACTTTAAATAATTTTCATCGTTTAATCCCCCTTAGCCATATATTTATTTTCATGTAGTTTATAAATTTTTGATAATAATTTTACTGCAATATTTTTCAACCTTTTCACTTGCATATTATATTTTATTTCAAGAAATAGAAATCGATGCTAATTATAGAAATAAATACTACACATTATATATATTAAGTTAGCTTTTTCTTAAATTTGTTAACTGACTAACGTTGACTTATATTAATAATTAACAGAATTTCATTATTCGTGATCAGAATTGGGTAAATTCTAATTCCTAGTAACGAAAAAATAAGCTAGTAAATATACTAACGTCAAAGTTTGTGTCGAAAGCTTCGAAAGAAAAAAGACTATCCTGCACCGACTAATAACGCCTCCACCGATTATTATTAATACACCCTAGCGACTATTGCAGAAAATGTACAATGGTTTATAGATTAACGAAACGACTAAAAAAGGCGGTATCGATCACGTAGTTCGTGGAAATTCGATTCCACGTCGAACGAGTTCGATTCCAACTTAAAACATTCAGGAAGAAGAAAGCGCAGTCAAAAAAGGAGGAACTTCTTAGAAAGTAAAAAGAAACTCACCGTTGACGAATCGAAGTGTCCGTAGAGATGGCTTCCTCTCCCTCGAAAGGTTCTTGCGGCGATCAAAACAAGGCCAACAGTCCAGAAAAATAAAAACCAGCTTACGAACACCGTATCGATCTTTTATCGAATCGTTCTTCCAAACAACTGTTCCATTCACTAACGATTATTCCGTACGATCGTCCTCCATCGCGAAGCTTTCGACTCGTTTAGCACTGACGACGATAGAACATCATTGTTCTCAACGAATTAGAACAAACGCTAAAAGCAAACGATATTATCATTGGTCGCGTTATTATCACCGGTTTTAACACAACATAGAATATTTCCATAAATCCGTCGAATCTGAATAAAATAAAGTACGATAAATAAAACCGTACCGATCAAATGAAAATAAATAAAACTGTTATTTGCTTTTTATATCGAAACGTACGTTTAATTTTCAATATTATGGAAAATCGACCTATACCGAGGCTTTCAGGGTTTCGAAGCAAAATCGAACGAAATCGTCGAACAGAAAAGTTTCAGCGAACTTTCCAGCAGATTCGATTACGCGAATTAAACGATAATGGCTTAACCGCCTCGCGTTCGGGTGTTCCGTTCCTGTTTTGCGGTTTGGCGGAATTTCAACCGTTGGAGAATAAAACGCGTACAGCCCGCAATCAACGGCTATTATTAAACGAAACGATCGAATGTGCAAGAACGGACGAAACGGTTTCCCACGCGCGGTGCACCGGACAAAAACAAAAGCGAACGAATATCGAAGATGCGTACAACGATTTTCGCGTGGCGTCGCGCGTTGCACGCGATCGAAACATTTAAGCGCGAAGTGACCATCCGGAAGGCCAGTTTCCGCGAAACGAAGAAAAATTAGTTATCAGGAGGCTCGAAGTGTGAAACTCTACGGTCGAAACGGGAATATTATTGTCCTCAAACGTACGTCGTAAAATAATTATAATATCTATTTGTTCCTTTACTGTAGACTGGAATGTCTCCAAAAAATAAACCTAGATATTTGAGAATGCTTCAGACACCCGATAAGTGAAAATAAATAAAGGTAATTTCCAGAGGATAAAAGTTCGATCGAGAAATGAAAAGCAGTGCACGATTACAAATGTTATCAGTTATCCGGGTCAAGTATCAGAAAAATTTATTTCCGTGCACACGATACATCGGCAAGATCTCGAAAAAGAATATTTAATAAATTGCTCGAAGGTACCAAGAATAATTCGAAACACTGTCGAACTAAACCGTACACGGAGAGACGAGTCCGTGGTTGTTTTCGAGACGGCGGTAGAAGTCACAGTGGATATTTACATCCTAGGACGCCGGTTCTCCGGAAACTAGAAGCCGTACAACCGATAATCCGCGAACGACGCAACGCAGGTGATCGAAAACAACACTGGTAGTTGGCGAGAAACGGGGAAAACTCAGTTCGCGAACGCGACCGTGGAACTCGAGGCGATCGAGTATCGGTACGACGCGAGGCGTCGAGATAGTGGATCGGTCGACGGTTCGGCGTAGAACGTGATACGACGACACTCTACGAAGGGTAGAAAATCCATGGAGAACCGTGGCCGCAGACCGGAGGAAACACGCGCGTGACGCTTGCTACGAAGGAAGCGGTACCACTGAACGCTGGGGGGTTGCCGCTCGGTAGGCGGCCTGGACTCGCTAGGGGCTGCTAACCGTAGGCCAGCCAGGGTTGCTGCTGACGAAACGATGCTTACGCCGTTCCTAGTGGTGGTGGAACTGGTGTTCGAGGTAGACGGGACCGGAGTATCGAAAGATCTCACCGCACGGAGCCACCTGTCGAGGCGAACTTTTACGAAACTTGTTCCCGGAGCCCTTAACAATCGGATTACGGACGGGCGAACGTCGGGGACGGGTCATCTTTGACCCTGTTTGTTTATTCGATCTTCCTACGAGGAACGATACTAGTTTTATTTTTAAATATACAGGGTAAACTGTATAACTTGAACAGTTTAAGGGTCTATTTTAGCGTGAAATGCGTTTTTTTAGACTTTCTTGAGCAATTTTTTGCGGATAAACTATACTATCTTTTGCGGTGAAATTTACAGGGTTTATTTGTACATGTTTTGATGAGGTTTTGAAATTTTTTGGATGAAAAGAAGTTAAAATTGGTGGCACTGCATACTCTCAAATATAGTCGCTTTTAACCCCTTACTGTACTATTGTACAGTTTGACACGTCACAAGTTCTTGATGTCAAATTTCATAATCATAAAGCTATTCATTTCTCATCAAGTCTCATACATTATTATGTATATTAAAACCAACATATTTTTACGTTCACGAGGTATTTGTAAAACAAATCTATTCTTTTTCGTGGCCATTCTTTGTACGAACAAAAACAAAATTAAATAATATACGTTTAAAAAATTATTTAGAATCTTCAATTATAATCAATTTATAATCAAGTTTTATCGCACATCAGTCGTATAATCAATAAGAATTGTTGGAACTTCTTTAGGTAAACATATCTTTAGAATCGTCTTTGGGGTCCATTTTTACCCGGAATTGAATTTTATCGTATTTGTACAATTCTTTATTTATTAATCATTGAGTTCAGCTACCAGGATACCCTTTTCCATATTTCATTAAAAAATTTGTAACGTTCTTGTCGTAACGTCCCAAAATCTTTGAACGGTTCTATATTATTTGAGTAGTCATAATAAAAATTCATGGAGAAACTATTGTGTGAGGAACACGTGTAAGAAATAACATTTTTGATACAAAGAGCAACATAATCGCGGTTTGTTTTGAATCTGTTAGTTGAACTCAATTACTAAAGCTTACTCGAGCAGATCCTGCCTTGGACGCGATGCTATTAATTGTTTGAACAGTTTCCAATTACTGGATAGTGTCGTAGTAGGTACATAATTAGTTTGAACAGATTGCTCAAAAGGCTAATAGTGTCATGGCAGGATATTCTAGATAAGCCTTACCGATGTGTCGAACTGAAATACAGTGATATTGAGCTGCAGAACAAAATTGTTGGTATTGCCAAATTATGAAAATATAAATTTCTAACAACTAAATATTTGAATTTAAATACAAGTGTTAGTTAAATTTATATAAATTTGAAATCCCCACAGTTGCTTGGTTGTAAACATAGTCGTATCAAGCGCATTAAAAATGATAATAAAGACAAATATGTATTACGTGATAGGAGTAACGAAATGAAAAATTTTGTCGATTGAATAAAACTGAAGGAACGTTCAAAATACAAATTTTTCTATGTTAAAAATTTTCTTTTGCCTTCCTCCTACACGTTGCACTCTTGTTGCACACTTATTTAAATATTAAAGTACGTTTATAGAACATTTAGACTGTTATAAAGTTATATATTTGTATTCGTCATTTGCTAACTAAATAGGGATTGTATTCAATATTGAAATCAAGCGTAGTATTTTGGATTTACACAGTTATTGAATATGAAATGGCGTTTAATATATTTGCCATTCCCTGACCAGGCAATTACAAGGTATATGTATTCTGTGCATTCGACGATGTAACGGTATGAAAGTACCTTGTAATTGAACAGAAATCAAGTACAGCGTGCTGGCATTTGTAAGCATTCGATTACGCACAGGGCATAAATTAATACATAGATCGCTGATAGTTTACTATTCAAACGATCGATCCACCGTCTGGCACAATTAATAAATCAAAATTATTCCTGTAATATTACACTTATACGTAATCTCGTTAACGATAAAATGAAAAAATATACACCTTGACCATGAGAGTAAGCAAAAGTAAAGTTTAAATAATCGTACGATTTATTTATTAACGTGATTCGTTGTTCTGGAAATTGTAAAACACTTTCGAGCTTTTCTCTCTGAAATGAAATTTTCTCTATAAATGGAACATATGTTTCGAGCAACTTGGCACGCGGTACAACCTCGATAGAGTAACCTATGATGCCGGAAGTGTTCGTGTTTATCATCTTGGCACACCATAGTCTTAAATTGAAAACAAAATGATTGATAGATCAAATAAAGAAAAATCGAACTTTAATGAAATAGGGAAATTTACAGATCTCACGATGATATTTACTATCCATGAAATTTATCGAATAACTCAATAATTAATTCATTGATTCATTCCATAGTTCCAAACCTCGAATGATAAAATTACAAAATTTTCTATGTATTAATTATGATTGAAAAAATATATTTAGAGATTAAACACATGATGCCGCAAGACACTAAGTACTTGTATAATACTATCACTATGCTTGGAGCAATATGGTGGTTATGTGACCCAGAAATTCTGTTAACCATACACAAATCCTCAGCCAGATTCGAATCAGAATATTACATTAGTAATTGGGCTTAGAACATGCTCATCTACTAATGTAGTAGCTATAGCGGTAATACTTAGTTTGCAGGGGAAAGCTACATCTCTGGGAAGTGAATTTCTTAGTAAAATTATGTCAAATCAAAATCGTCAAAAAGTTCAAATAACTGTCAGTCTGAAAGGTTAAGCATCTACGATAAATTTACAACTATTTTACAATTTTTTAAACCAATATGAGTACAGTTGGAAGTTCGTGTTTATGAAAATTTACCTTTCAATTTATATTTTATTATTATTCTTAATTAATAATCATATAATTTGGGCTACAAAGCGTTAATATATAGTTATGAAGAAATTTCTGTACCGATGGTTGTTCGTTTCGAGGTAAAATGACTTTCTCTTCATAAAGAAACTTACCCACGCGAGATATTACGGGAAATCAAATTTTATCCTTTGCCTTTGATGCAATGAGCTTTTAAATTATTATATAGTCTGCGACAAAAAGATAACACCTAGCTGTTTTTATTTTCTTGACATTAAATCTGGAGTGATAAATTTTTTACATTCTATTGCAATTGCGATTCTTTTGTCAGTTGTGTTTCAAGGCGTTAGACTCCAAAGTCTTCTAAAATTATATAATACTCACTGTCCTAAAATTTAATACAGTGGAATTGTCTTTCACGATACAGGAGTATACAAATATTTTTATTACGATCAGAAATTATTATCTATAGTCCTCTTTTCCAACATTTTCAAAGGCGTCTTCCTCTCTTAAGAAAGAGGTAGTTTCTGTCCCCTAGGAAATTTGCTTACGCGAAACGGACGATTTTATTTTATTCGCTAGCCGCTCTTCTGCTAAAAAAAGTTAGGATATTCGTAGTTTAATATATCCATTCTCGAATAGCAGATAACCGTTCCACGAAATTACAAATCTGT